CACACTGTATTCACTGTAGTCACTACTCACACACACTGTAGTCACTCACACTGTATTCACTGTAGTCACTACTCACACACACTGTAGTCACTCACACTGTATTCACTGTATTCACTGCTCACACACACTGTACTCACACACACTGTATTCACTGCTCACACACACTGTATTCACTGTGTTCACTGCTCACACACACTGTATTCAGTGTGTTCACTGCTCACACACACTGTAGTCACACACACTGTAGTCACTGCTCATACACACTGTATTCACTCACACTGTATTCACTACTCACACACACTGTACTCACACACACTGTATTCACTGCTCACACACACTGTATTAACTGTGTTCACTGCTCACACACACTGTAGTCACACACACTGTAGTCACTGCTCACACACACTATATTCACTCACACTGTATTCACTACTCACACACACTGTAGTCACACACACTGTATTCACTGTAGTCACTGCTAACACACATTGCATTCACTGCTCTCACACACTATTCACTGTATTCACTACTCACACACACTGTAGTCGCACACACTGTATTCACTCACACTGTAGTCACTACTCACACACACTGTAGTCACTCACAATGTATTCACTGTATTCACTACTCACACACACTGTAGTCACACACACTGTATTCACTACTCACACACTGTAGTCACACACACTGTATTCACTGTTCTCACACACACTTTATTCACTGTTCACACACGCTGTAGTCACACACACTTTATCACACAGTCAGTGTGTCTGGACTGTATTAACCCCTCTCTCTCCCATAGACCCAGTGTCATTTCGTAGCTCAGTGTGTTCCCCCATCTTTCTGTGGAGTCTGATCACCATGGCGATGACTCAGTTGCGCATCATCTTCTTCATGGGGGCGATGAACAAGATGCTGGAGTTCGTGGTCACCCGAGGAGAAGAGCACCGTAAGCACTTCCGCAGGAACACCGCCACACGGTGACACACCACACACGCCCTGACGCCCGTCACAGCTTCACAGCGCCGGCCTGGCCTCCGCAGCGCGGGCCGCGGCTCGGTGACCAGAGGGTTGTAGGTTCAAACCCCAGCTGTGACGCTGCTGTTGTGCCCTTCAGCACAGTGCTTCCCCTCAGCCGGCCCAGTGAAACACCCTGCGGTGTAAATCGGCGCACACGTAAGTGGAGCTGGACAAAAACACCAGCCGGAGAAATATCTAGACATCGTGACTCCACTCGAAACCTTTCTGACATTCCCATAGGACACACACTACACCCATGGCAGCGTGGAAAAGCCATAAAAAAGCAAACAAAATGTCAGGAGATAGTGTGGAATGAGAATAAAAGTGGAGATTTAAATCCAGCGATTCAGTGTTCGAAATACAGTGCGCTGAAAAGACCTTATTCGGCCTTCGTGCACGGCGCAAGATTGTAGTAGGTTTGGTCAACTCGTAATGGTGTTCCTCGCAGACGCTCGTGAGGATGGTAAGATCCTCGTCTCGCTTGCCTGTATACACAAGTCTCGCACCCAGCCCCTCCTCTCGCGTGTCTCTCCTGCGCCCCTCCCTGCCCCCCAATCCGCAGGCCTAGAACAGCCGCTGGAGAGCGTATTGATTTGGAGCCCCTAGACTCGATCGCAAGCCTGTTGTTCCAGCTCGTCTTCCACGAGTCACTAGTGTTTCCCTCCTTT